TGTAAAAGCTTTTGTACACTTTTAATGTTTATTGCAGAAATAACACAGTGATTGGACAAAATTGCAAGTTACAAGCACAACCAGTAATATGGCCTGTTTGCACCTTGCATTAACATGTGTTTTTAGTGTTTTTGATCACATTTAGATTTCATTTGACTCCATGAAAAGCCAGGTGTAAGCATTACCAGGACATATTGTGTTCAGATTACAGTCTGATTACAAGCTTGTCCACTTGTATCGTAATGAGCAAAAGAGGAAACCAAAGTAAAAGGGAAATGGCGTGTGTGTTAACATGATTTTACAGACAAAGTGTACTATGATCTTATCTGGTCACACTGGCATTTTAATGGAAAGTGTAAATAGAATCTGACCAAAGTTTATCCTGATACAATCCAGACACAAACATATGTTAATGCAAGATATAACTTTGGGTAGTTGTCTTTGTTCAATTGAATATACAACCCCAATTCCTAAAAAAGTTAGGACAGTATGTGAAATGCTGATAAAGAGAGAAGACAGTGATTAGTAAATTCTGTTTGACCAGTATTAAAATGAAAATGGTACAAAAACACTTATGTTTTACTGTTAACTTATGCTTTATTGTTCTTGTAATTATATGCTCAGTCCAAATTTGATGCTTGCAATACATTCCAAAAAAGTTTACAGGAGCATGTTTGTCACTGTTTTATGTCACATTTTCCTTTTCATCAGCTAATCTTGTTTGAAAGCATAATAGGAAAAAAAAATTGTCAGCTGCATAACTATAGAGGTCCTTCATTATTGTATTTTCCACACGTTTTCAGTCAGAGACAGGTCTGGACTGCTTGCATGCCAGTCTAGCACCAGCACTCTCTGATTATGCTGTTGTAACATGCATAGAATGTTTCTTGGTGCTGTCATGTTGAAATCAGGATGGACGTCCTTGAAAAAGACGTTATCCAGAAGGCAGCATACACTCACGAAGCACTTTATTAGGAACACTATACTAATACTGGGTAGGGCTTCCCTTTGTTCTCAGAACAGCCTCAATTCTTTGTGGCCTGGATGCCACAAGATGTTAGAAACATTCTTTTGAGATTCTGGTCCATGTTGACATGATTGCATTAAGCAGTTCCTGCAGATTTTTCAGGTGCACCTTCATGCTGCGAATCTCCCGTTCTGCCACATCCCCAAGATGTTCTATTGTATTCATGCCTGCTGGAATAGCCACTAAAGAACATTGAACTCATTGTCATGTTCATGAAATCAGTTTCAGACAACTTTTGCCCTGTGACATGGTGCATTATCATGCTGAAATGGTGCTGTGCCTCAGCAAAAATTTAGATTCATCTGACCAGGCTACGTTTTTCCAGTCTTCAACTGTCCGGTTTTGGTGAGTCTGTGCCCACATGTTCAACCTTAATAGTGCTTTCACAAATCCCCAGGTTATTACCCGCTAAGCACCCCACCCATATGCTGGTAACAATCTGGATGGTCTTTTTCTTCTGTGGCACAGGGAACAGGGTGTCCATTATTTCCATAAGCAAACTGAAAGGTTGACTACTCAGACCACAATACACATTTTCACTTGCATAAGTGTGTTTCAGATAAGCTTGAACTCGTATGTGGAACGTAATTTTTAAACTGTTAGATTTTTTGCTCATGCATTTTTGGCGAAGTGGTGAGCCTCGACCCATCCTTGCTCGTAAAGGACTAGGCCTTTCTTGGATGCATCTTTTTCACCCAAGCATGATTGCATCACCCCTTTAAGATGTTTTTGAACATTTTGCAACGTTCCTTGTCTTAATTCGCTCCTATGCCAACTTTTTTTGGAACAAGCTATAGGCAGTGTCCATATATTCACAAAAACGGTGAAGCTGATAGATAAATGATTAAACATCTTGTCCTTGTACTGTCCAAATACAGATCTAAGTTGATTTGTAAATCACTTTCTGTTTCTAATTGCATTTTATGGACTATCACAACTTTTTTGGAATGGGGTTTGTAGAATTTGTATGTTATAGCTGTAAGTTTGTGTGTGCCTGCATGTAGTTCTGCCTTGGTGAGAGCTCTGTGACCTATTTTTGTGTGCAGAGGTGTGGCAGTGTTTTATGTCCCTTGACTTGAGAAATTCAGGAAATGCGCAGATACACTCTCACACAGGTCTGTTTGTTTTGTTGCACACCATGCTGACTTGCCCCACAGTTTAGCTCTGAAGGGTGTGTTTCAGAAGGGTTCCTCTGTTGGACAACTTGATTACTTCAATTTATTGCACTTTAGAAAGCTCTGGGGTAATAATTGTGATTTTCCAAGAGCTGATGTCTGATTATACATGACTGAACAACATTCACCGGATAATGACAATTTTTGTTTGTGAATAATGGAACCGTAATCTTGACTGCATAAATGTAGGCTTGTTAAGCTTTTTACTTGACTTCTTAGCTAATATTTCTTGCTGAATTTTCAAACATTCTCTCAAATGCATGATGCTTTATTTCTTTCACTGAAGTTGACTGTTTTAATACTAGACAACTAAGTTATTGGGTAAAATGTTATTAGGCAATAGCAAAATAGTCTAGTGACTAATGCCAGAGCACTGCACCTTTTGTTCTTTTAATAATAGCATTCATATAGCCCCTTTCCTACATTAAAATGAAGCTCAGCATGCTTAACTAAGAGGAAGACAGAAAAAATAAAGACAAATAAAAACCAGCATAAGAGAAGAATGAGAAAATAGGGAAAATAAATGTAATAAAAAATGAAGGAAAAATAAAAATGTAATTAAAGTTCTAGTATGAAGGGTAAAATTATAAAGAAATAGCAGGGAGGTAAAGAATCGGAACAAAACCATGTAGCTCTGTTTTATTTCTGTATTTATTTATTTACATAATTTAAAAAATGCCAGCTGACCCTCAATTTCTTCAAATTTCATGATTAGTGGAGCAATAGAAATTACTTGGAGAAAAAATCTTCATCCATAAACTTGCATTTAAAGTTAAGAAAGTAAGATTTTTTATGTAAAAAGATATGTTTTATGGCGCTTTTTAAAACTGACGATCGTGTATGTTTTGTAAGAGGAAGCTCCACAATTTGCGAGCATACTTCACTACTGCTTTTGTGTTCCTTTCACCATAACTGTTTTTTTTTCTGAGTCATTTATAGTATGTTTCATATTATTAGTTTATTAAATCCTGGTATTTCTTACTCTAAACACTTTTGGCATGAATAATGCAGTCTGTACACACAATGAGTCTGAATTTCCCTTAGCAGCTGCACTGTCTCCAAAACAGCCTACAACACAGCCTGGAGACCTGTGCACTACTTTTCCAGACATGGAAAACACATGGGAAAATGAGATTACTCAAAAAGCCTTAGAACTCTCAGATGCTCATGGAAAATCAAAAGGCCATTCAATCATATAATCTCTTTTATTTCTTACAGTAGATTCCTCTGAAAATAATAAAGTAGTTGCTGGTGATAAAAATACCTCTTTTCTCCCAGAGGATGCTTTGTTGTTGTCACAGTATTGCCAGCCTCAAACCTCGGTGTTCACTGCTGCTACACTGGGCAGACCTATATAAATCTCAGAGAGCTTTGACTGTATTCCATCTGCAGCTTGCTAGTGGACCACCTTTAAGGTACACCAGTAGTCCATAGAAATGTATTAATGTTTGAATTTTTACAGTGAGTTAACTCTTAGATTCGTACAAAAATCAAACCCTGTTCTTCAGAATTTCAGAACTGACTTTACTGTTGGTGCCCTGCAGGGCAGCTGTGCAAGACACACTGCTCTCTCAGTGACCACCCAGCTAAAAATAGCAACAATCACATTATCAAGTCTACACATGATGCCACAATAACAGGACTGATAAAGGACAGAGATGGATATGTAAAGACAGACAAAGGTGAGCACCTGGCAAGGTGATTACAGAACAGTAGTGTACTATATGTGTAAAAAAGCAAAACTTTGCCTCAAAAATAAGAAAAATTGATGTTTACAAAAAATAAAAAAATGTTTGTTAAGATTATTTTAAATAGGTCAAATGCATAGAAATGAAGTAAATTATCTTCTATATCACATGGCAAATCTTGTGAAGAGAAACATTATTACATTTTATTGCACATCATTAAAGATTAACTTTGGTAAGGCATTATATTATACTGAAGCAATATAACATGAGAGGGAATGTAATGGCTGCAAGCTCGAGCCAAATTCGGTAAAACCTTGTTTATCTGTGTGTGGATGAATTTCATTATTCTTATACTGTAAACATATTCTTTGGGACACGTTTCCTTCAAAATGGGACCTAACTGCTCACTTTGTGGCCATGAGAGACAGGGATGCGGATAAAACAACATGGATAGAGGGTTTTGGAACAAGTTCGTTCTATACGTTTTATACTCTGTAGTTTCTCATGCTTCCATGCATGCACTCTGTATACCTGTGCAGTCAGTTATTAATAAACATGTTTTTCCTGCTCCATTTATATGTTGAACCAGGTATGATAGAGCAAGGACAACACCAAACTATGTAATTCAGTTGTACTCGGGGGTCAAGACTGAACAACAGTATTGTCTGAATGCATTCTGTAGGCCTGATGCCTGTAATTCATACATATTTCATATTAATGATTACTCTCTGGGCTTTGTCCGTATTGATTATCTGCTCACAAGCAGATAACCCACGTATCCTTGAACCCGTCAGAAGTTGCAAAAAACAACACAACTGCTCCAGCGAATGATCCATGTACACATTCCATATTTCAGTAGTTACAGTGTTGTTCGTTGGACTCTGTAGTTGCAGAGCAAAAACTGGTCTTTAGTTTAAGGCTCTTTCTGATTGGGCTCTTGAACTGCATTTCTTTTTGTTTTTTTTTGTATGTCTAGTTAGTAGTGAACAAGAATAAGAGAAAGGCAAAGAAAAAAAGCACAAAGGCACAGAGACATGCTTATGCCCATTATCCTTATATGCAGAAACTTCTTGTGTACTAAAGTCTGCGTTTGTTTATATGCATTTTCAGACATTGGACATTAACTGGACCGGTCTAACCAACATGCTGGACATCCCAGGACTGAAGTGAGTGTTTATGCATGTGTTACCTTTTGCTGGTAGTTTTTTAAGTGTTTGTTGTGGTGTAGTTACTCAGATATAAATAAACATAACCCAGCCCAGTCGAGTGCCATATGTCTATATTACGGTTGTTGCCAGGGAAACACCCTGAGGCAGAAACAGGAAGTGCACTGAGCATATGGTGCTCATAGCTTTGTTTAATGCAGGTGATGATTTTATTATTAGAGAGAACTGTGTTGTCTCTCATACATACACAGCGCTGAGTGTGTTTGGTTGGTTAAGGTGTTGATTTGGTTAAAATTATGTGTGCATGTATATGTACGTTTCTTTTGTTTTCACTGACACAAACAAACAGAAACTGCTAACTCACTAACTATAGCGGCACTGATGCTAGCTTCAGCAGCAACAAAATGTTTAGTATAACAGTTTTTTTCTTCTCATTTCTAGTCTGGTAATGCACTCTTCCACATATTAACTGAGACCTCACACATCTCCTCTAACCCTAACCATAACCCTCTTTAGTCTTTGGTTTGAGAAATTAGTAACAAATTACTCTTTCCATCAGACTTTTGAGAAATTGGTTTTCAGAATTTTCAGATTTACAAATATAATCCAGCATATTATAAAGTTTCTCAGCGGTATCCCAGGCATAGTTACAGTTGCTGGGACCCTCTGTATTTTGCACCTTACAGATACCAGTACCTTTTTACAGGGATAAAATTCCGAAAAACAGATCTTGTCAGCCGATATCATTTTTTATTTATAGTTTAGATTCTAGTTTTAATGCTGTACTGTTTCAGTTACACAAAGCTTTACTGACTGATCAACATTGGCTGATCACTTCATTAAGTACCTCCTTATATCTACGCTCATGGTCCATTCTGTCAGCTCCACACACCATATAGGTACACTATAGCCTGCAATTACAGACTGTAGTCCAACTGTTTCTCTGCATAGCTTGTTAGCCCCCTTTTACCCTGTTCTTTAATGATCAGGACCCCCACAAGACCACCTAATGGCATGTGTTCTTTGGGTGGTGGATCATTCTCAGCACTGCAATGAGACTGACGTGGTGGTGCTGTTTTAGTGTCTGTTGCACTGGTATGAGTGGATTAGAAGACTAGCCCACCAACCAGAAATAACCGGCCAATAGCATCAATAGCGTGACCACTGATAACGAGCTAGAGGGTGACCAACGCAAACTGCAGCAACAGATAAGCTATCCTCTCTAACTTTACACAAGATGGACCAACACGGTCAGTGTGTCCACCACCACCATGTTAATGTTACTGTAGTGTTGAAAATGATCCACCACCCAAATAATACCTAATCATCATAATAAAATCATTTAAATTAATGATAAGTGGAACTGTGATTCCAAGCTTTGAATGATACTGTGATTTATTACATTTAAAATACCAGAAAAAAGGGAAAAAATTGCTATTTCTGTCTCTTTTGCTCACATAATGTTGGACAGTAAAAAAAAAAAAAAGAACTGCATATTTTTGTTTTTAGTTTTTGGGAATGAAAGAATATAAATTCAGTCCTGTCTGAAGCAGAGGCTGGGAGTGAGCTGAATACATTGAGGTTTCTGGGCTTGGTCAATATTGCATCAGGGTGAGAACCTGTGGACATTTTGTGTAAGAGTCGATACACACACTCTGGAACTAGAACACACACTGTTGTTCTAACATTGTCAGGTATGCCAGTTGCTGGAACAGCTCCCATGACATATATTTTACATATATTTTAGTTTCTTTGTTCACACACACACGTACTACAGTCCTGAAAATGCTGCTGTACTTTAGGGCTTATGGGAGTCTGCCCTTGGGCCTTACAGAGAGAGGAATCGTATTACCTCACAAATGATTTGCATGGTTCACCCAAACACCAGCCACTTGAACTCACTCTTGCCATTGTGGGACTGTATTAGAGCACAAGTGTGTATTGTTTTTTTTGTGATAGGATGGGTATCTTACATGAGTTGTATGTATGCCTCCCTTTTATCCCACTCTTTCAGATTTTTTGCCCATTAAAGGTCCTGGCAGGCTTGTAATGACTGTTGTTTGGTTTCCCCATGATTCTCTCTCTTGCTCTCTCTCTTTTTTCACACACACACACATACACACACGTTACAGTCATATAAAGGGTGGTGCCGATGTGTTGTGGTTTAGATCTTTCAAGCTGTGTACTTCTTTTCAACTCAAGCACATTGGGACACACCCTCCCAGTCAGCTACAGTAGCTCACTTCATCCCTCTGGTGGCCATGGCAAAGAAACACACTTTCATAACAAAAGTGGTGCTTCTACACCAGTTAAAGTCAAAATTCAAGACATACTCTTTGCACACACTTACAGCAGAAATGAGACATGCATGTCCATGCCCAAATGGCCCAACAGCAAAGTATTTAAAAAATTCTTTTACACTGGTAATGAACTCAGTCCTGTGGTACAGTTTGCCAGGTGGCAGTATTGCTAGGAGTTTTCGGCTGGGTTCTTTGTTTTCTAATGATTCTGCACACCTTGATGAACTAGACTGATTTTCCCATCCACTTGACGGTTTTGCAGTCTGACACTGCGTTTACTTTACAGCAGAGCGCAGCGTTTTTTATTTTGCCTTTTACCGATTTCCGTGGAGACAGGAAGCCTGTCCTGTACAGTGGATTATATGAGTGGCAGTTTAGCGAAGCAAGCAACGAGACTGAAAAAAGTGGAGGATTTCTGAATTCTGTGGAAGAAAAGCGAATTTCTTTACCCAGCAGCCTGTCAGATTGTTGAAATGTGGCACAGTGTTTTATGCTGAGAAGATGGAGGAGAAGTTAACAGGAGATAATTACAATCTTTGAAAAAATAAGGTTAGTAGATGTTCAGTGGGAGATTACGTTTGTTGAATTTTTAAAAAGTAATGTTTAAAAATAAAATTAGGGCTGTTGTCCCTAGAGTTTCGTTGTGTTACAGAAGTATCTTCCAACTACATGTTCTTTTACTCTAGATAGCCAAGCATTTTAGCGACACACACTCAAAGCCGCATCAAGTTGGCAAAGGAAGTGATTTGCTTTCCTGTATAGTAAATACAGCCTGATATGGTGCAGCTGCTGTAGCAGAACATGATGCTGCTAGTGGTGTCCTGTGGTGTCCCTAGCATTGGAGCTATGGTGCTCTACCCCCATGAACCCACTGATAATAACTTAAGACAGTTTACTGCTTCTTAAAGGGTCTTGTTTTGGTTGTAGGTTTGTTCTGCCGATTCTTCACACAATATCTAATTATGATGGTTCTTCAGCTAAAACCTTGTCAAAATCGGTCAAGTATACCCAACATCTCAGGTTTATCCTAGGTTGTCTAACATCTCAGGTACTGGTATTTTGGTGAGGTATGTGACACAACTATACAACATGTAGTCAGTTGCCTTAAGGGCATGGACAGGTAGGCCATCAGGTTCAGCAACTTTGCACCAGATTCTGATCTGTTTTGTGATGATGTTGCTACAGTATCGGTTTGTAGGCATTCCATACGTTGTTTTACATGTAGTCCAGGATGTGTTTGCCGAAAACTGGACAGAAGACATGCTAGAAAATTCTGAATATGACTGCTGTAAAGTTTGCCCAGTTAAACTCACCCGTGACGGAAAGTGAAGGTTTGTAACTAAGGTTCTTGTAAGCACAAAATAAGCACGAAATCCTGTATACATCCCCTATACCCTCCTTCTGCACAGATATTGTGTATTGTCTGACTTTAACATTTAAAAACATAAAAAGTGTGGCCTGTGCAAAAAATATGGTTATAAATTTATGTGTACTCAAATACACCATTACCAACATCCATACCGCCTGATACCATGTGACCTGAGCCTAGTGTACACTGCCGCTCTAATGAGCAATCGACTTAAGCTGGCAGTGAATGACGATCTGCTCACACAGCAAAGTGCTGCTGATGCCGAGGCAGTCACACACAATGTTGTTGGTCACCTCAAACATGCCTTGGCATATTACCACCAGATGTACACTGTGCAATTTTAACATTTTTTTAAACACACACGAACACAATCACATTCACAGCCACTTCCCCAATACAGGTGGAGATGCGTAGGCTAGCAAAACGGAGTGGAAAAAGACGACATTTGAGGCACTAAAGTCTGTAAATTCTGACTTTATTCTGTTTGACTGAATAGATTTGCGAAGCATAAACATTGATATAGTGATTTATTTATTTATTTATTTATTTATTTTTAATTGTCTTTGTAAAAGAGCATGTGGAAAAAACGTATCCATGTACATCTCCACCTGGTTTTGGTTTCAGTGCACAGTGGCATATTCACTCAGTACTCTGGTGAGCAGTGTGTTGTTTTAAATGAAACAGCTTTATTGGACATTCGTTATAGGCAGAACTGTCTGTAGGCACTGCGTGGCACATAGTAGGTCAATCAGACCAAGCGCTTTCGTGAAGTGAGCGCATATAACTCATAGGCTCTGTCTGTACAAAGTGGTCTTTTCAATTGTACAGAGTGAGTTGTCACCAAAGAACAAGGGTCAACCAGCCAAACAGAAGACTCCAAAAAGATGTCAAACTCAAAACGCAAGCTTCTTGGATTAGCTTCAAATGTAATTCCTGTTACTGTGCTGCAAAGACTGTTGTTGAAAGAGACAGCATATGATCAAAACTATGAAATATACCTTACTTACAGCTGTACAGAAGCGCTTTTCTTATGTGGAACAAAACCCTCTCTTCTCCACTGCAGCACTACTCAATCCAAGGTAACTAATGTTGAATAGCTAGCAAATGCATGTCATTTAAAATTAGCTGAATTTGAATGATTTTAAAGGTGGAGGTACATTGAACTCATTACTATAACAACTACTTAATTCAAAGTGGTTTATTCAGAGTGGTTTCGGAATCGGTATCTGCACATACTTAAAAACATGTACTCATGCTTGTATTTGGTCTGCACAAAATGGTACCAATGCATCCCTAGTTTATATGTTGTTTTATTTTTTTCCAATATGTCAGACTCAACAAATAAATAGGAATTGTGCACTAAAATTTGTGCAAAAATGTCATGTTTACATATGTTCCCTGGAGAGGATGTGGTAACTTATTTTTGTCTTAGAAAATCAGCAAAACGTGTGATTTAACTAGGGGTGTTCAAACTTTTGCATATGACTGTAGAAGGGAAACTGCTTCCATTTGGTAATTTTTTGAGCAGTAGTGTGACTTATGAGTGCACAGTTCAGTATGTTGTAAGTAGTGTTTCTCCCTCTTTGCTTTCTAAACCTCTCTCTTTTTCCGTCTCTCTTAGTGGACTGTGTGATGGAGTGATTGAAGATATTATCTGCAGTTACCTGGTGCTGCCCAATAAAATATCCATCCCACTGGTGGATGATGCACAAATGGCAAAACTACGCTTCCCTGTACCTAAGGTATGAGCTTACTTTTACTATCTTTACCTTTCTTTTATTATTATGGCCTATGCTGACCAGAATCCACCAGTATTCCTGCCATTTTATTAGAATAGGAGTTTAGAGGGAATAGTTGTAGTGTTTTCCAGTGATTTGTGGTCTGAACAAAAAAGGAATGTTCTCTCAGTATACACTTACTCACTCATGCTACTAGCCCATTTCAACAAACTGAAGAGCGATAGCTTGTATTACACAGAACACAGAAACCTGATTCTTTTATAACTGAGAATTTGTACTTGCTGTACTACAACTCTCACTTCGTCTATATGTGTTTGTGTTGTGCATTTTCAGGGTGTTTTGCGGGTGCATTTTATGGAGGCACAGGACCTGCTGGCTAAGGACACATTTCTGGGTGGTCTGATTAAAGGGAAATCTGATCCATATGGGGTCATTAAAGTTGGCAACCATCTCTTCCAGAGCAAAGTCATCAAGGACTGCCTAAACCCTAAATGGAATGAAGTATATGAGGTTTGTTTTACAGATTCCTACAGATGGTAATGCAAATTGTAGAACGAGTTTCGCTTTGAATGCGCTATAAAATGGTTGAGTGATTTTAACACTACATTAATGGAGTGTGTGAGGAATGTTTTATGAGGCCTATTTGTATTTAATTGGTTAATTTGGTTAATGAAGTGGATATAATATTGCTTAGTTCGAAGTCCTTGCTGAAAGATGTTTGCTAGCTTAGAGCTCACAAGCATTGGGATAAGGACTCTGAACTCTTTAAATGCAGCAAATGTGAATGAACCATAGTTGTAGGCATTACTGTCCAGTTTGATTGTTGAGCCGTTGAACCATGTGGTTCAGTGTGGTGGATATTGGATTGTATTATTTGATCAGTGCACTTTACTGAACAGTTGTGTTGTGAAGTCAATTCCTGTTAACATATTAGGGAAGCGGTACAGGAAACGTAAAATATTGAGCTAATATTCAACAGTGTTGGTGTGTCCATTTTTATGCACGCATTCATGTGTCTGTGTGTGTGTCTTAGGCGTATGTGTATGATCAGCCAGGCCAGCTTCTGGAAATTGAGTTGTTTGATGAAGACCCTGATGAAGATGACTTCCTGGGCAGGTAATGTTTCTTTGTCAAAAAAAAAAGACCAATATTTCATTTAAGACCCAGACTTTCAAAGTACAGTTATTTAAAACTGTGTTCTTTCTTCCTGAAGGCTTGTCATTGACGTTACCGAGTTGCAGAAGGAGCAAAAAGTTGACGAGGTAAACACGTTTAGTTTAGCACCGGAATTTCGGCCACCAAAAACCGAAACATTTTTACCCATTTCTGGCCAAAAAATTTGGCCCAAAATTTTAATAAATAGCAAAGATTAAAATCAAAATGTCAAAATCAAAACTTTATAAAGAATTTTAATGGTAACAAAATTGGGAAATAGTGATTAAAACACTGTTCCTTTCACTTGCCACTGCTGATCAGCACAGGTGTATTCAAACAGATTGAACAGCAGCAGAGTGAAAATGTTGGCCCCAGTGGGCCCATTTCCTGGTCTTTGAGAGGGACATTAGATAAGAAGATTATAATCTCATACCAAATATCAAAATGGGACGCACAAGAATTTGTCATGACTTTCCGCTCAATACACCGAACACATCAAAATGAGGCAGAAAGGAAATTCCCAACTACTACAGCAGTGCCATCTGTAGCTTTAATGTTTTGAAAAATAAAAACCACAGAGTCAAAATGCAAAGTATGACTAAAAGTAATATAATTCATTGCCTTGGATCAATACCTGTTCTCTCTTGTTGAGAACACTGGATTTCGTGGCACATACCATAGCCTACGTACTGTAATAAGTTTAGGAAGTTTATTTTATGGAAAGTGTTTTATTTGTTGCCAGTTTTTGGCTGAGTATATCCTGAATTTCCATTGCACCAAAGAACTTTGATTTCAGTGCATCAGTAGTCACTTTGTATTTGGGATGCAACTGTTTCTTTACAACTGTTTATTTAGATATTTATATGTTTGTTTAGTGGTTTGTGCTGGATGATGTGTCCTCTGGAAAACTGCACCTAAAGCTGGAGTGGCTCACTCCTCTCTCTACATCTGATAAACTGGAGCAGGTATCCCTCAAACACACACACAGATACATGCATATAAACACTCACATTCATCTCACACAGATATATGAAGAGACGTGTTTTGCACATGACAAAACTCACTGGCAATCCCAGACACATCCTGCATGTATAGAAAATTGAAAGTGAGGGTCTGTTGAGCTGTTGTTCTTGTGTGCAGTTAATTATCAGGTGTGTGTGTGTGTGGGTGTGTGTGTTGCAGGTGTTGAGCAGTATTAGGGCAGATAAAGGGCAGGCTAATGATGGACTCGCTTCAGCACTGCTGGTCGTACACCTGGACTCAGCTAGGAACTTGCCTGTAAGTACTGATGCACTCACACACACGCACATACATACACGTACACGGACAGACATGTGTGCAGGCAAATACACCCATGCACACACATACACACACACACACACACACACATACGCGCATGTTTTTTTTTTTGTTTTTTTTTTTAAAAGATTCCTTTCTCCGTCTCTGCCCTCTCTCTCTTTTCCTCCCTATTCTATCATGCTTTCTCACTTTTTTATTCTTTTCACTCCAAGCCCTGTTTGGCAACTGTAGTTCCAATTAATGATCCCATACACTTTGTTGGGTTTCGACCTGATTAACTGTCAGTACAATTTCTTACTCAGGGTTGCTTTGCAATGCAAGAGAGTCATTCCACAATGTGATACACCTCAAGTTCTCACTTTGTGTTTTTATTAATTAAACTGAATGTTCTACATACAGGCAGTAATTATGAAAGATCTCACAAACTTTTTTTTTTTTAAGGAGATAAACACATGTGCCATTGTTCCTCTAAATGCAGCCCAATATCAAAATAAAAGCCCCTGTTTAGGAGGGCTTTTCTAATTCTGTTGTGCTCTTCACACTAGCTTTATCAGAAAATAGCTATTTCAGACTTTTACATTTATATCAGTTAAATGTAGGCAAAAAATAAATAAAATTAATACAAAAAAATTAGATAGGATGTCTACAGTGATGATTACGTAGCCTTAAAATAAATGGTAAAATACTAGTTCAGTGAATATGAATTTCTGCAGTTAAGTTGAAGAAGGAAAAAAATATTGGATTGGATCGGTACTCTGTATTAGCCAATATCTTCAGTTTGGGTGTCAGAACCGGTATATAGAGAATAGAAGTTGAATCGGTGAATATCTAGCTCCAGCTCATTCTTCTGCCTTATGCATGGTCATCTGTGCTTGGTTCTATATTTCAGCGTTTTATATGTGCTTTCAGCTTCTTTTCGTTTCTCTTTCTGTCTCTTTGACTCTTGCCCACTCCTCCCTTCCTCTCTTTCTCTTTCCCTTTTCCTCTTTGGCTCTGTCACACTTTTTCCTGTGGGGAAGAGTGTGTTTGAGGGTGACCTTGGTAGTGGTTGTCTGAAGGAGCGTCGCACTGCAGGTCTGGTGTTCTGTGAGAACACTGCAACCCTCTACAGGACTCTCTTTGTGAGTCTTTCTGCTTGTGTTTCTTTTGTCAGCATGGTAATGATGTTGTTGTTGTTGTTGTTGTTGTTGTTGTTTTGTTGTTGTTGTTATTGTTGTTGTTTTCTTTTGCTGTCAGATCAAAATCTTTCTTAAGTACATCAATGAAACAAGATTTCAGTCCAGGTCATTTCTGATGGTCCACTTGTCATAAAATGGTCACACAATGTAAAGCAAGTGTTTTCAAATTGTGTAAAAAAAAAAGTATAAAAACAAACAAAAAAAGTTATGAGGCTTTGATATGACAGCAATGTTATCCTTCTTTGAAATGATAAAAGATGAAAGCGTCTGTTTTCGTTGTTTTTCCTTGTGGCTGCTGATATCTGCAGGACTTTACATGACCCCTTTTTTTTTTTGTTTGTTTTCTGCTTTGCATTTCTAAATTTCACTCTGAATAGAAGTTGATTGAAATGGTGGTATGAGAACCAAAAGTGCTTTTGTGCCTGTCAGTTCTGCATGCTTGTGTTTAATTACGGCATGAGTCAGGGCACAATTTTGTTATTTTTCATCTCCAAGCTGATTCCTGGAATATTATTTTAATATTAACACTATGGAATATTTCAGCATTTTCAGCCTGATCTCTATCTGCCGCAGCCAGCTGTCATACGAAGACGGTCATCTTTGACACACATCAAAGAATAGAAAATCTGTAGTTAAATATCACATTTATAATTGATGCTAATGGGCAATTGCGGACGTAAATGCAGGAGTATTCCTTTACCTAGCTGGCAGTTGGGGTAATTGTTCACTACAGTGAAAATCAAGAATGGGAAATATAATAAGTACAGAATAGAAGAGTGGCTGTATACTTCTAGCTGTGAAAGAACTACACAAAATGAATCAAAGCTGAACATGCAGTTGCATGCTAAAAAGAACCAGTGTAGCCGAAGTCTTTACCTGATCATTCTCACACAAGAATAAGAGTAATTTAACATGTTACTACCAAAATTAGAAGAATATTTCTACAAATACTTTCAGTTAAAGTTAGTTATTTGGATTGTATTTTGCAGACGTTTTCAGACACCCCACAAATAACAAAACATAACATTATTACATATTATTACATTATAATGTAGCCAATTATATGTGAGCTAAATAAGTGCTGTGATTCAATGACGTAGAGCAGTAGCATGAATGGTAGTTGGCCAGTGTGTGATATGTGTATATTTTTCTCAAACATAGTTTTACAATGAAGAAACAAATCTAATAAATGAATGTAAATGACCATACATGTTGGACAGGTTTTCATAGCAATAGTTGGTGTTATAAAAAAACTACAGATATTAGCCATGACATAATTTCATTATTTTTTTTTGTGAAAATTAGCCATAACGCTTTATGGTAGTTGTCTACACCCATACACTGTAATGGTCTTTGTCAGCAAATGTGACAGGTGGATGATCATTTTGGCTCAAATCAAAGAAATGTAGTCTTCATAATGTAATGGCAGTAATTTTTTTTTTTTTTGTTTGTTTGTTCATTTTTTGTTAGTTAAAACTGTCAGTGTTTTTGTTTTTTCATAAAAAATCTGATTGCATGTTGAATGAAACCAGGTTTTCAGTTTTACACATCTCTTCACATTCTGTTGGATGTTTATGAAGATATGCCATCTTGAACCTTCAAATAGGCATTAATAGTTAATGTAGTATAGTTTTGTGCTGTGGTGAAAGAGCTTATATACCCTCTGAACTGAGAGACTTCTTGTTGTATCTGCTAGGCTCATTGCAGTTTCAACATGTTTACACATTATTCAATTAAAAATATATATACATAGTCATCTGTAGATGTAGATGTGCTGTATTCTGCTCATAAACATCACCCTAAAGTGAAGTGTGAGTAAGACTCCTGCTGTGGATTGCCTTTTCTTCTCTCCTCATTCTTTTTCTTCGTTCATTACCTCTCTCCTGTCAGTGTTTTCTGTTTGTGATGCTGTTTCTTTTTCTGTAAACATCACTAATAAAACACTCTCTCTCCCTCATAAACATTGTTATATAACATGCTATTGTTAACCCTTAAAACATTGTGGGAGTGTCGCGGTGTCTCTGTCATGGCATTAAAAGGAGTAGTTCAACTAGCAATCAAATTTTCATTATTGTCCATCACACATTGGTTCTGTACTTTTACAAAAGAATATTGCTAAGAAGAAGTGAAGAACATCATGCATTAGTAAAGAAAACCTCAACGAAGTGTGATTGAGATTTGTATATATATATATATATATATATATATATATATATATATATATATATATATATATATATATATATATATATATATATGTATATATATATATCATTTGAATATAAATTGAATAGAAATTAATCTCCAGGCCCTAATGTGTTGCATGAAAAATAATGTAAATTAGATTTTTGGTCTAACTATTCCTTCAGCTTTCTTGTTTTGGTGGGGTTGAAGTCATCTAATCTGTTGTTCATTTTGTCATGTCTTCCATCCCTCATTTTGAGTGTGTGTGTGTGTGTGTGTGTGTGTGTGTGTGTATTCCAGGGTGTTGTTTGTTGTGGTAACATGGTTTTAATCTCTCCTTGCATGCTCTCTTCTAATTACTCTTCTGCCTGTGTTTGTGTGCGCACATGCACATATTGTATGGGGTCATCCTCTTCTTCCTGGGAAAAAGCGCAATCCATTAGAATTCAACCATGCAGGTCTGAAGGAGTCCTCAATCAATAAAGCACTAAAGGTAATGGCACACTACTTAGTGATGTGGGCACACTTATCCAAAACACCACATCCAAAAGCATACACCTAACAAAGAGCAAACACTTAGCAGGAAGTATTAAAAGGAAAAAAAAATGTTTACTGGTTTGTTGTCCACATTATCTGTTTCAGAAGTAATGACCTTTGGTAATGGATACAATTTTGATAAATGCTGTAGAGGAGATTGATTGTTGAATCTGAGTCTACATTTTTGTTATGTGGCCAATATCATAATGCATAGACACAATGCCGTAAGTATAAAATTTCAAATGTGCATGCATGTAAAAGAACAGGAAAGGCAAGAAGTTAGGAAGATTATAGGCTGATTTAATGGAATGATTTAATAGAAGGTGACAATTCTGTGAGTATTATAAATCGGCCACTACCCAGCAAGATATACTGCATCTGTTAAATACATAGACAACTTGGCGGCAGGTTTACTAATGTTTTGCACCATGGCCCTTTAGTGCCCATAATAAGATAAAAGAGCAGTCACTAATATTTTGCCCTTTTTCTTTGTTGTATGTGCATTTATGTAAGTCTTCTTCTCAAAGCACAAAATACTGGGAGGAGATTATTTTAATGAATGACCTTCTCAAGTTAACAAAAGCTGATGGTAAATACTGACTCAATGATTATGCCCATTATTCAGCACCTGTGAAAAGCTTGTCTTATTTTTGGCCCTCACATGATTGCCATTATTGTTGCTCAGAGACGCCCATCCAGCAAAATGGAAGCTCATTTCCACTAAGTGAAAAAGAGAAGTTTGACCTCTGGAAATTGTGAATAATTACGTGGAAATGATTACATATTTTTTCTCAAATGTAATATTACTCAAAATTATTTCATACCAAGTCAGACTGGACCACAAGGCCACACGCTCATAAGTGGCCATTTAAACAGGATATGCAGTATTAACTGTCATTCGTTAAAAGTTCAATTAAATTGCAAATAATGGGGCTTCTCTCTATGTTTTTGTCTGCTCTGTGAGCTATTTTAGATTTAAAAAAAATTTTAAGAGATTGTTTTCTCATTGTTATTCAAATGCCTTGCATTTACAATTGTAAACCTCAGAATAACAAATGCCCATCTCTAGTGATAAAACTCTGCTACTCTGCACTTAAAGTTGGCTAGGCAGTGGGTTGTTTTTTTTTTTCTTTTCTTCCCCCGCAGCTCGCTCTCAACTAATGCCAATTTAACATGCTCAATCTGCCAAAAAAGAGCTGACAAGGAGCCACTTGAGAGTGTTCTCTCTGCTCACAATAAACTTTGTCGGCTTACAGCAGCGGCAACCCACAGCATACTATATTAAGCAAGGACACACACACCTGAAGCACAACAGCCTTAACCTTAGCTTACCTAACACTATGTAGCATTTGAAGCCGGCGCCTGATGATTCTATTCTCTGCTATTGAATGGTATTGGGCTAACTTAGGGTGCATCACCGCCATCTACTGAGGGCTGGATAAACTCCTTGTGCGCATTTCAAACAAAGTTGTCAGTCAGTCAGTGAACATAACTGCCTCTTCCAGGCCAGCTCACTGGGCGGTCCGGTGGAAAAAAAAAACATGAGAAAATAAAAGATCATATGAGTTTTTCAGTGTCACATTTTTATTTTGCAGAACATATTACAGCAGATTTTCTTTTAAAGATGGAAAATGCAGACCAAACCTTTCTTCTAACCTAAGACACTAACACCTTAAGCCAGGCATGAAGAATGGGGTGCAGATTTCATGTGATTGATATTTGTTTTGTCCTGTAGGCCTGGTTTGACTAACCAAACCATAACCTACCTAATCCATGTCATTTTATATGTGAGTGTGTTTGAAGAAGTGATGCAAAAATGCTGTGGTCTGAAAATTGTTTGGGGCTAATCTCCAGCATTAATATCAGCCAAAGGTGTGCTTGAAACCTGTTTCTCATTTTGAAGTTTGTGATTTTCTGGAAAACCAACAGATTACTTGGTGTTTTATCAGTTATCTACAATGACAAAAATATGTACATGAGCAGTGTGTTTTGCCAACTTTAGAGATGTAAGACATCCAGATAGTAGAGGACATTGTGTGGTATGTGGTTTCAGTTTCAGGTTCAGACTGTATATGGCGACTTGAAAGAGAATGTGTTAGGCACTAGTTGTGCATCTTCTCAGTACCGATTCCATTTGCAATTTGTTTAATAGGTTTTTAAATCTTAATGTAGTATTAAATTAAGTCTAAATTTGTGATTTGAGGTTGAACTCTACGCATGTCTCTAACAAATCAGTTCTGAATGGATGTGCTTTATGGCTTCTTCTCTTATAATCAGGTTTCCTGGGTATGCGGGTTCTTTCACTATACCTGCTGTTCCTCCACATTCCAAATTACATTTCAAATCTTTGGAAATGTATCTACATTTTGTAGGTTTACATTAGTTCTTTGAGTTAAACATATTGGGGGAATAGTATTCTAGGTACATTTTGCATTACGTTAAGTGCCTAGAAATCCACATATATCTTCCACGAATTAATGAATTACATAAGATAATGATGACATAAAAAAAACATTGTTTATGGTGTAATGTTTTTCATATCTTTCATTCCAAATATTTATACATATTTTTATTTAAATATTCTATACACAAAAAGTATTTCTGCTCATCAGTGAATGTGATGTTTTCCATTTGTTCAATACAAAAGAAAGTTCTATGAAGCTCTGTAAAGCTTAAAACAGGACCATGCAATGATTTAAAACAGTATGATTTGATAACCTGATAATCTTGGGAACTTGTGGTTGCCACCTGTTTCTCTCCAGTCTGCAAAAAAGGTCAGCAGTGACCCCAGTCCCTTCGTCCAGTTTAGGGTCGGACACAAGACTTACGAGAGCAAGGTAAGCATATTCACAGATTAAGATTGATTAACATGATGCTTTGTTTGTGGTTTTATGGCATGATGAGGTTTAAGCCTAAAGTGCTGGGTTAACACATCCAGTTTTGAATGAACACCTTGTATAATGTTCAGAATTTTGGTGTACAAAACCTTACCAGCTATAATAGAAATGCATATGGTTTGAAGCTGAAATGCACATGCATATGAAACATGCTGATGTCTGAAGAGTTTAATGCCCCCTCACAGAAGGCATTACATGAAATGCTAACAGATACGTTGACTGATGACCAAGACATTGTTTTATGATTGTTTTATGATAGTTTTAAGATCCAGTTTCAGTCTGAAACGTATTTTATTTCATATCCATTCATAGTGGAGAGGTACATGCAGGGCATTGTAAGGCAAAACAGTCCCCAAAGAAAACTTTTTTTTGCTGATTTACTGCTACTTCACCATGATCAACCTTAAAATGGCTATATTTGAGTTGAAGACATCATGACCCCTGGTTCCTATCACCACCATTGTAAAGAAATCATTTTTGTCTACAATTGAATGTCTCACATCAAACAACTCTGAATGACTTTATTACATCTTAGTGATGAAGTTATACATAATTTTTGTAAAATCTGTGGAATACATTGGTGGAATAAATAAGGGGCAGAAGTGCAAAGCTATGCCATCTGCTGGTTCTGCATGTTCAAAAAAGAACTTAATTTTTTGCTAAGCCATATAACTATAAAAGGTAAAGTAGACATCATCCATGCAACAGACATTGTAGTCCCTTTTTTGGAAAACCCTTTTATAAACGCTGTTTCTGTCATTTACTGTCATTAAATCTTTTGGAACACTGACATCAAATACAGCTCAATATAGGGGTGAAAAACTGCATGGGAAACCTGATCACTTTCCAAACTCTGAAATAACTGATAACAAATCCTTTTTAAATCATATCTGAATATTTTATTTTAATTCTTTACATACTGTAGTGTACTGTGAACAAATGCTGATGTTTTCATTTATTGATATATTGATTTATTTATTTATTTATTGTTGCCCTTCTCATAGACACGTTATAAAACCAATGAGCCCGTTTGGGAGGAGGCCTTTACATTCCTAATACATAACCCAAGGAGTCAGGAACTAGAAGTGGAGGTAAAAACAAAACATACAAACCCCAAACTAACACACATATACACAGCAATAGATAAACTAACTTTTACATGCATACGTTGTGTTTGTGTGTTGTGTGTTTGTTTGCCTGTCTCTGTAGGTAAAGGACGAGAGGCATGAGTGCACACTCGGGACTTTGACTCTCCCTCTGACCCAGCTGCTGGAGGCTGAGAATATGACCCTCAGTCACAGGTTCCCTCTGAAAAGTGCAGGGCCCAGTGCTACACTCAAAATGAAGATGGCACTAAGGGTAGGCAGAAAAACACACACTCACATACATATGCACACAAACACTGTTTGTCCACAAGTCCTTCTTATATTGGGATTCAGGTGTTTCATGCAAAACCATTATTGGCACAAGTCATATAATCTCCATAGAAAAACTTAAGGCCCTGTTCACGCTTGGTATAAACATTTGTCTCAAGTGATATGATCATAAGTGGTCAGTGAGACGTTTAGCCGCTTACACCAGGCATTTCCATGTGTCTCAAGTGCGTCTCCAGTGATCACCTGTAATCAGACTTTGTGTCTGGAGGAAGGGGACCATCCACATTTATGTCATCAGTCTCTTGCTGCATTTGTTGTTAGCCAAATTTTCATGTTCTTGCTTTTGTTTCCGTGTTCTTGA